TGAGTGAATTTATTATTGTAGAATTCTTTAAAGTTGTCATATAATATACAGGAATAAATTGTGAAGTAGTTCATTTTCATAAACAAATATAAATTTTTAATGATATAAATAAGCATTAGTTAATAAATAAAATATCAATTTGTTTTATAAAAATAAGTTAAGATACAATAATCCAGGCAATTGAAATGTTTAGTTTTAAAAACATAAAAAAATAGTTAATTTAATAAAAAATAATGGTAAAAATTTAGATTATTAATTGAAAAGGTTAAATAAAGTGATTTTGTAAAATTGAATAATCAACAAAAATATTAATTTTATTTATTGCAAAATATTACTAAAAAAACCATATGGCGAGAGATGGGATGTCAAATAAATATATTTAAAGCCATTCACCTTGTCTCATATATTGTTCATAATCAATTTGAACCACTAAAATTACATAAAATTGCAAGCTACAGTAAATCAATATCGATACAGAAGGCTTGAAGAGTATAAGTACTTTTTACCTTCTGGTTCTGATTTTGATTAAATGCAGAAGATTAAATTTCTTAAAATAATAAAATGCTCAAAGGTCAGTCATGGTTAGACAAACCAACCACCCTGTTTATAGAAATTTGGATTATTTTATTGATTTAATTCTTTAAAAGAAAAAAAAAGTAAAAATTTAAAATTTTATTATTAGTAATTTAAATTTAAATATTTTATAAATATAATTAATTTTAGATTAACTCATGACTCTTATATTGTCAAGTAGATTTTGAGAGAATAAAATTGTTGCTTTAAAATTTTGAAGGGTCATAAAAATGAAACTACAATAAATATGCAGTATTTTTAAAGTTTAAGTATATGTTTAATTTTAAATTAAATAAAATTAATTTTAAACTATTAAATATAATTAAAAATATAAAAATTTCATTTAAATTAAATATTTTTATTAAAATATATAAAAAAAAGCAACAACAAAAAAGGGTCCCAGTAGGATATACTATTTGAAGTAATAAGTCACAAAAAATTAACCAATAATTGACAAATTAACTATTTTTGTTTGTTAGCATGCAGACAATCATGCTCCTTCAGAAACATCAGCCTCCATGACCAGTTCATTGAATGACAAGTGATGGATGCTGTTGTTGATAGGTGCACGGTCCAAGGTTTCTAAGGGCCACCCAGAATCAATCTGAGATATTATTATTGACTATTCCTAATTAGTATTCTATACCTTTCCTTTTCTCGGATAAATGTTAAATTGGGCCATTCATGTTTAAAAATATGTTTTACACAAATAAAAAACATTTGTGTAAAAATATGTGTAAAACATTCACAACCCTTGGACCACATAAATGATGATTTTGTATAATAAAACACTTACTTTTTGTCAGTAATATGTTTCATTAACCACGGGTCAAAGATTAAAACTTCCTTGATTAACAAGCTGACAATAAAGTATATTTATCAAATGTTATAGCACAAAAATTAAGAAAAAGAAAAAAAAACCAATCTACTCATATTTATTAATTTTTTTATTATGTTCTTTATTTTTTATTTTAATATTTTATACAATTAATTTCTCTTTATTGATAAAATATAATTAAATATTATCTTAAAATGTATAGAAATATTATTTTAAAATGACCAATAAAAAGAAATCAAAGTTGTAATTTTTTTTTATAATTTCATGTGCATATTTATTTAGCATAACTTATATAATAAATACACTAAAGCTAAAGTAATATGATTTGAAACTAATTTATATATATATATATATATATATATATATATATAAATAATTTTAAGAGAAGTTATCCAAACGTTGAAAAATGTTTTTAAGCCACAATAAAAGTTATAAACAACAACAATAGCTACTGAACTTTCTCTCATGATGTGAATTCGGTTTATAAATTATAAAATATCATTAAATTCAGTATAAGTTAAATTATTTAATATATATTAGTTAGCATAATTTTAATAATTATTCACATTTTTAATATTTCTTTCAATTGTCAAATTATTTATTTGTTGTAATGTGTATTTAGTGAAATAATTTTTTTTATTGATAATGAGAATGATAATCTAAATTGTATTATCATATATTAATAATTAATATTAAAATATTTTAAAATCACATGATTACTAAAAAATTATGTGATTTTTAAAATTTATTATATATTTTTTTAATCATGATTATTTGTTATCATATACTTAGATAAAAAAAAATACATTTTCGTTTTATATGTTTCACGCACACACAATTTATCTTAAACTAAAAGCAATATGAGATATCATAAAATTATTTTTTTACATAAATTAAACATTAAATATTAGTTTGATGTATTAATAATTAGATATCAGTCTCGTGGGTCTAAAAAGATGAAGTTAATGTAATGCATGTTTGAAAATATACTAAAATAACTTGAAATAACATTTAAAAAATAAAATAAAATAATAATTTGTAGCGTTATAATAAATCTACGTTTGCTTGAATTTAGCGCAAAATCAAATGTACGAGTAGATTGTTGCGATGTAAACAAATATGAGTTTGACAATCTGAAAAAGAAGAAAAATCCAACGTTGAAGTTAACAAATATTCCAAAAGTGTAATAAGAGGTGATAGATATCATCTCTCATATATCCAACGGTGTTGGGCAATTTATATAATATTCATCTGCAAGAGAAGCCTAGTCAAACATGATATAGGTCAACATAGCTTAATCTTAGAATGTCATAGTTCTTCATGCCATAATGAGAAAATCCTAGGAGTTTTAGAGAGTGCATGAAATGTTAGATGCACAGGCAATATTTAATAATCGGTAAAAGCATTTATTTAACCAATAAAATTAGTTAGTGTGGCAAGCAGCTTGATAATTTTAATAATAAAAGTTACATATAAAAGTTTGAACATAATAAAATAAAAACTGCGCCAACAATAACACCTAAAAACTAAAATAAAAAAAAATAAAAAATTATAAATATTATCAAAAGTTTCAGAAATCATAATATCTTCCAACGTTTAATCTATCAAACGCTAATATGTCGGCATGTGTATTACTTTCACTCGTCTCATTACTATCAAGCTGGAAATATATACCTAGCTCATAAATCTCAATTTCTTCATCACTTAATTAAATAAAAAAAATGAAAAAATATATAAAATAATACTTTACAAAATAAAACATACAATACAATTAAATACTAACCAACATCATTTCTTGTTTCATTAATTTTTGGATTGCATTATCTTGTTCTTCAAAAAAGAAATTTGTCTATTTTTTTAAGGTTTCGAAAGGGTGTAAAAACACATAAGAACTCCTGATAAATATCATTCTCATTCTCAATCTCAATCTATTCAAGATGTGCTTTTTCTTCAACCACCCAAAACCCATTTGAGTATAATATATATTGTATACACAAAACAAAGAGGGGCTTGATACACAGTGATGTCGAAAAAGACAATTGCTTAGGGTTGTGAGAGGGCCGTTGATGCCATTGTCGCATAGGGAAAAAAAAGTTGTAAAACTCGCTACAATGACGAGGTAACACTAGGAAACTCGTGTACAAAATAGAGAGGTGCAAGCATGCAGTGATCACCTTCGTGAACAACATAACTTTGACGAATAGCAGAGGCAGCAACTAGTTCACAATTAAATAGAGTTTAGCTGAGAAGACTAACTAGGAATCGGCAATTTGTCGATTTTTACTGTTTTTACTAATTTTAGACTGATTTTTAGAATATCCAATTTGTTGATTCTATTGGACCTGTCACTGAATCGGTTTGCTGATTCATCGGTTATGGTTCAATTTTGTGAAAGCATGTGTATAGGTATCAATTGTACTGCGCTCTGAAATAAAATTTTTAGCCCAAATTAAATTATTTAGAGTGTTAAAGGTTGGACTTTCTAATGCGTTGTCTCAAAATAATTTAAATATGTGTTGATTAAAGAGTTCTTTTTTTGAAAAAAGAACTTTGTTTTTTTTTTTTTCACATTTAGGTTCAGTTTAAATAAGCAACTGTCTGGCTGTAAAAAGTTATATTATAGACATTTTGCATTAATTAACGTAACTAATGGTAAAAACTTGTGCGTTTCGGTTAAACCAAAACAAAAGAAAGAAATAAAAATCTCTGAATAACATGATTCCATGTATATTTTATATTATAAGGATTGAAATGGGACAAAATAACATGTGCAGAGAAAGTATCCGATGTATATAAACGGTACACGGAGATTCTAGAGTTTTTCATAAAAAGTAAAAAAAAGAAAAGAGATAGAACGGAGTTCGAAACATTGATAATGCGTCGTGGAATCGCTTACCTATAATTTCGTTACATGTAATGGTCAAGGTGCAATACATTAATGCAAACCTGCAGCTTTCAGAACCCACCTACCAAATAATTCGAACATGGAAATTGGCCAAGTAGAAAAAAACAACAAAAGGCATTTCATGTATGATATGTTGGGTTCCTGTTCATTATTTCGATAGGCAGTTAAGGCATACACCTAGGGGCATTGAAAATCAATCAATAAACTTTTCAATACGTGAATTTTTGGGCTACAGATGAATATATAATTACTATTTATGATTACATTTAGACATTTTTAAAAAAATAATAAAAGGTATGCCCCTTCTTTAGCTAAGCTAATATATATATATATAATGTCATGATTCTAATTGATCCGATTTTTGAAACACTTTAAAAGAAGCATCAGGGCATAGTATAATCAAGTATAAAATATTCATAATGAATTCGAAATGCAAATAAAGTCCACTCTTTAGCTAGCAAGGGAAAATATGTCTAACTCAAAACAAACAACTACGTGGAATTTCAACGGAACGGGTTTTGTTGGTCCCCTCATAATTCAAAATCCGGAAAACTCCAATTATTATTTTCTTTTTAGATGAATAAGCAGTCAAAAATATTCAACGACTCCTTTTTGAGAACAATAATAATTTGAAAATATATATAATCCTGTTTGCATGCTTAGCTAATGGACACACCGCTTTATTGGCAGTGTGTCCTCTGTTCCCAGAATTGTGTCTGAGTCTGTCTACAACGGATCTTACAACTCCATATCCTCCATCACCCCTTTCTCTCTCTCTCTTCTCTCTCTTCTCTCTCTTCCTGCTATGCTAAGCACTGTGCTGTTTCTCTCTCTACAACTCATGGGTGGGATTTAGGACTATCGTTTTCTTGCCAAAGAGGCTCCTCGTGAAGTGCATGTGAAGCTTGTTGAGAGATCTGTGGCTTAATAATCCAAACGGGTCACCTTCCTTTTTCTGATTCAGGCGTTTGAGGTGTTAACCATCTACTTTTTATGTTTTTTTAATACCTTCTTCTCTCTTTCTCTCTCTCTTTTTGGCTGCCCTTTTAGAAATGTTACATCATGTTCTTTACGCCTCTGCTTCATTAACTCCTCATTTTTGTCACACGCTGTGGCTCTTCCAATGAGGGATTGCTACTTTGATTGCTTCCACTTGAGCTTTGAGAAAATCGGGTCTTTGTTTCTTCTCCTCTCTTTGCATGCTTAGCTACAAAATTGCGCCTTGTTTTGTCCTGGGGGTGGCAGCACGCTTGCCTCGTTCACAAAGTTCATTCCTTTTGGCTCAATGGTTGGTTCAATAGGTTTGAAGAAGTGTTGGTTTGTGTTTGTGGAGTGTCTGGTGGGAAGTTTTGGTGGTTAATGGTACCTCCTCTTGAAGGGTGTTTCATTACTGGGTTGAATCTTGGCGGGTCTTAGTGTTAGCTCTGTTCATGGGGTAATTGACCATGAGAGTCGCTGTTTTCCTTTTGGTGAGTTTGAATTGTAGCCTTGTTTTGGCATTTCCGGGTAGTTAATTGGATTGAGCATTTTCTATTTCCTTTTGTTTTGTTGCCACAATAGTGATAAATTGTCAGTTATAGGCAAAAATGAGAGATTATTTGATTTGTTTCCTTAATTTAGAAGAGATTCTGCTGTTAGAAGGATTGATTTTCTGATCATGACTAGGGCTGTCCGCAATAGGGTTCTCAAAGATGCCAATGGTGATATTAGTGATCATCTACGCAACCACATCCATTTGACAAATTGTATTCACCTGAAGAACCATATGCACAAGAACAGCCCCATACTGGCTGATAGGTCAATCATGAGGGACCTAGTTGTGCTGCAGAGATCAAGGTCTCTCAGGGACCCTTCTGCAAGTCCTCCATCATGGCACTCACCTTCTGTTGTTGACCTGCTTTTCAAGAAAGTTGAAAATGATGCTGTGTCTCAAGGGGGAAGAAGGTCTGTCGGGGTTGAGCACAGGAAGGAAGGGAGGAGAATGTCTGGAACCTCACCGCCATTGGTGAGTATTGGTTCATCAAGAGTTGCTCCGGGTGAGATTGGTAGGGGTAATGATGGGATAACGGCAACTAGTGAACGTAGTAGTAGAAGTGGAATGGGAGATGGGAGGAGAGTGGGTAGAGACGAATCTGGAAGGAAGGATGATAGGCCTGACTTTTTGGATGTGAATCAAGAAGGGCCTTTCAATCAAGCTGGCAAAAGTTTGGCCGAAGATGTTATTTCAAGGCACTCTGAGTCCAAAGAGAGAAAGGGCAAACAAAGGGGGAAGAATGTTCGAGACTCTCAAGTTAAGACCCTTTCTGAGCAGCTGAAAGAAGTTCCATTGGATAGTGATGATTTAGCATCATCGAACATTCATTTTCGTGGAAGATTTCCACGACATGAGAGACTTGTTGAGGAGGCAGAAGCCAGGATGCATGGTAATGGCAGTGGAATGAATAGGGGGAAAAGGCGTAAATTTCGAAGTGCTAGAAGGGCTCGGGTTGCTACAACATCAAGAGATATTGAAGCTGAGAATGAAATGTCCGTGGCTTCCAACTCATTAGCTCAGGCTTCAGCGCATCATAAATATCATTTGGAGGAGGCTGATGCTTTTGCAGATGAAAATGTTACTAGGGCTCCAAAAAATGGGTGTGGCATTCCTTGGAATTGGTCCAGAATTCATAATAGAGGTAAAACATTCCTTGACATGGCTGGCCGAAGTTTTTCTTGTGGTTTATCAGACTCGAGATTAAAGAAAGGAACGTTAGGTGCCAATGGAAGAAATATTTCTGATATGCCTGTGGCATCTGATCACTCAAGCTCATGTACTAAATCTGATGCAGAGGCACTGCCTTTACTGGTTGACTATTCTGGATCTCATGCAAGCACGGAGAATGCTTGTTGGGATCATGACTATTCTGGGGAACTAGGTCTTTTTGGTGATAATTTATTCAAGCATGATATTGATTCTGACCTTGCTTCTGAAGCTAGATCTGGTGACCAGCATAAGTTGAGAGGGAATCGTCACAATAGACACCAAAGCTTAACACAAAAATATATGCCTCGAACCTTCAGAGAAATGGTTGGGCAGAATTTAGTGGCACAAGCTCTTTCAAACGCAGTAATGAAAAGGAAAGTTGGATTATTGTACGTGTTTTATGGTCCTCATGGCACTGGAAAGACTTCTTGTGCTCGCATATTTGCCAGAGCTTTGAATTGTAATTCTTCAGAGCACCCAAAACCTTGTGGCTTTTGCAATTATTGCATAGCTCATGATATGGGCAAGAGTAGAAATATAAGGGAAGTTGGTCCAGTCAGTAATTTTGACTTTGAGAGCATCATGGACCTACTTGACAATATGATTGTTTCCCAGCTTCCATCACATTACAGAGTATTTATTTTTGATGACTGTGATACTCTGTCAGCTGATTGTTGGAATGCTATATCGAAGGTCATTGATCGAGCACCTAGACGTGTGGTTTTTATCCTTGTCAGTTCTAGTCTTGATGTCTTGCCTCATATAATAATATCCAGGTGTCAAAAGTTCTTTTTCCCAAAGCTGAAGGATGCTGATATTATATTTACGCTGCAGTGGATTGCAACCAAAGAAGGTCTAGAAATTGATAAGGATGCCCTGAAACTCATTGCATCAAGATCAGACGGATCACTGAGAGATGCTGAGATGACCCTTGAACAACTTAGTTTGCTTGGGCAAAGAATATCTGTTCCTCTTGTTCAGGAACTGGTAAGTTGTATATTTATCAGCATGTTTCTGTTGTCACTGCTTCTTACACTAGATTCTATTTCTACTGTAACCTGGTGTTGATATTGTGAATTTGCTATGCATGAATTGTTCTGAAGTTAAATCCTTTCTTCAGGTAGGACTTATCTCTGATGAGAAATTGGTGGATCTGCTTGATTTGGCATTATCTGCAGACACAGTTAACACTGTTAAGAATTTGAGAGTGATCATGGAAACTGGTGTTGAACCATTAGCTTTGATGTCACAACTTGCTACAGTAATTACTGATATACTTGCAGGGACCTATGATTTCACAAAAGAAAGGCGAAGAAGGAAGTTCTTCCGGAGACAGCCATGTGAGTAAAATATATCCTTTTTACATAGATAATTTTGCTAAATTATCAATTTATGGCAAATTGAGGTGACACCAAACATGTTATTTCTCAGATCTGAATTATCTATAAATTTTTCTTGCTATTCCATTTCAAATTCTCACCATTCTTTAAACATATTTTATATACATGTATTTTAAGATTTTGGTTTAAAAACTGGCTATCCTGATAACTATTTTGTCTAACTTATTTCTTAAGGTTTTAAATTTCTTCATGTGTAGAGACTGGGGAGTTTTAATCTAGTTTCATATTCATGATTGTGTTTTTGTTACTGTCCTATCTCACATTGATGCAACTGATTTCTGTTAGTGTCCAAAGAAGACATGGAAAAGCTTCGCCAAGCTCTGAAAACTTTATCTGAGGCTGAGAAGCAGTTGAGGATGTCCAATGACAAGCTAACCTGGTTGACAGCTGCATTGCTTCAACTTGCTCCTGACCAGCAATATGTGTTGCCTACTTCATCTGATAATAGTTTCAACCATAGTCCCTTGGCTCTAAAAGATGCACATATAAGAGAAGCAGCTAGGCAAACTAGTAATCCTGTTGAAATTCATAACAAAACAAGACGATTATCAATGGATTCTAGAATTGAAAATTTCCAAGCTGGAAGCTCAGCAGAGGGTATGACAAAGGGTCCTGGTTCAGAGAAGAGACGAATAAGTGTGTCTGGTTCTGCTTCTCAACATACATATTCACATGCCACTGACAAGAGTAGGATGAATGAAAGGCAGATTTTGGGTAAAAGCCGTAAAGAAATTGATGAGATATGGTTAGAGGTGCTTGAGAGAATTCAAGTTACTGGTTTGAAAGAATTTTTGTATAAAGAAGGCAAGCTGATCTCTGTTAGTTTTGGAGCAGGTGAATATCAAATCTGCACAATACTTATTTCAACAATGCCAATAATTTTTTTTTATTTTTTATTTTGTGGAAATGTCATTCTGTGTGTTAATATACTGTGCATGAGTTTCCCATTTCAAATAGGGAAGATATAGGGGATAAAACTAGTCTATGTATGTGATTGCACTAACTGTTGTATCAACTAAAATGCCTTCTATTACTATCATAGTGCAATGAAAATTCAGATCTGGTAGCATTTTTTTTAATGTTTTTAAACTTCATCATAAAAAAGTTAAGATGGTTATTAATCCTGTGATGCTCAGCTTTTAGGGTGCATTTGGAATAGTTTATATGGAACTTATGAAAATAGCTTATGACTCATAAGCTATTTTTAGTTTATTTCAATAAGCTTTTTAGTATAACTTATCAAAATAAACTCTTTTCAACTTATTCCAATAAATTTTATAGTCAAATTTATGGCATAAGCACTCATGTAATAAAAGTTTATCAAATAAGCCCAAACACACTGATGTCATTATCTGTGTTAATATAATATGCATAATTTTTGTATGAGTTTCAGATAAGGAAGAATTAGGGGATATACTGGTCTATGAATGTGATATCTGTGTTAATATATAGTATGCATAATTTTTGTATGAATTTCAGATCAGGAAGAATTAGGGGATAAACTGGTCTATGAATGTGACGCACCGAATATTAGTATCATTTAAAGGGACTTGTAGTAACTATTGTATTGTATTGAAAATCAATTCTGGTAGTATTGTGTATGGTTCTGGTAGTTCAGAATTCATCATGAAGTAAAGAGTGGTTAGTCTGCACAACTTATGCAGCTCATGCTATTTAAAATAATAATTTTAGGCTATCTATTTTGAATGCTTTTAGTTCACCCTGTTCCCAAGTATGTTTGATGTTGTATCTCATTAATCATTATTTTGCTAGTTAACTGGTTGACTTTTTTTGAAACTTATTGTTAGTTGCTTTATTTATTAATATTGTTCTTATGATAGCGTTGCTTGTATCTCTTATGCATTTGATCCACTCACTGATATTCACCATTTATCTAATGGTAATGTAATGCTTTAATGTGCAGCTCCAACTGTGCAGTTAATGTTCAGTTCTCAACTGACCAAATCTACTGCTGAGAAGTTCAGAGGTCACATCTTACAAGCATTTGAATCTGTCCTTGGATCTTCTATAACAATAAAAATTAGATGTGAGTCATATAAAGATGCAGGCCCTGCTGTTCAACTGCCTCTTATATTGTCTGCTAGCAATGATAGTTCATCTCAGATTCGAGACTCAAATGGTGTTGGCAATCAAGCTCATGCTTCCCTAACTGATTCTGTTGAAAAGAAAATGGGTGAAATTGTAGAAGCAGCAGCTTCTCAAGTGGAGCACAAGAATAATGAGCAGCGGGTTGATGCTCATGGGACATCTTATAAAAGTTTAGAAGGTACAAGTATAGGACAAACATCAGCTTCCCAGAAAAAACCAATTGTTAAGTCACATTTAGACCGAAGAAAGCTTAGGGAGCAAGGTCAAAGTCGAAGTCTTGTAAAAAGCAAAGTATCTCTTGCTCATGTAATCCAGCAGGCAGAAGGTCCGAGAAGTGGGTGGTCAAAACGTAAAGCAGTTTCTATTGCTGAAAAGCTTGAACAAGAGAACCTGTATGTTGCTATTCTATCCTTTTCTCTTTTGACATATACTGCATCTAGTTTTTAGAGGGAAGGCATTGCTCATAATTTGTAATATAATAACGGTAGGGGGATGGGAATCTCAAATAAACTTAGTATTGACCTATACATTACTAGTGTTATGTTGGAAACAGGATAATTATATTTCACATCTGGTAACAGCTTGGGAAGTTTTAAGTAATATGAGGTTATCTATGATGAAATAAAATTGTGCAGAAGTGCACAAGTTAGATATTTCATGGATGCAGAATTAAGTAATTAAGAAGATTGAATGGGATTTTCCTAGAACTATATTCTAGATTAAGGTTATCCTTTCTTTTCAATTGTATGAGTCAGTGCAGGACAGAGATTGTTAATGTGAATATTTTGGATTATTGATTGTTGGAATTTTGATGTTATCTTTTTTCAGTAATAAAGTAATGTCTAATTATAATTGCCGATTAATATTCTAAATCATTTACTCCATAGGAGGCTGGAGCCAAGATCAAGAAGTTTATTATGTTGGAAAGCAACAAAAGTAACCCGGCGAAAGGTGATTCTGTTTCTCAATATATAAACTTTTTTAACCATCATTCTAGCTTTTGTAATTCATATACTAGTTTTTGAGTCATAAAACTTGAACTGAATGTACCATATTAATGTCAGCAGTAGCTTATGGCAATCAAAATTGTACTTTTGCTAGATCATTGCATTTAGAAGGGGCATCCTTGTTAATCTAATCATTTTCTTTTTCATTTGGAGATATTTGGAGGATTCTTTCTAGCTTTTAGAGCTCTATCTAAATGGTTTCTATTGTTAGTCTTCTTTTTGACTTTGTAACTATTCATGAAGTCATGCTTTGAGTAGCTGATGTAGCAATGCCCTGAAGATTGAAAGTTAGTGTAAGTTCCATTTTAGGGATGGCGTGTATGCATTTATTTTTTGGAACCTGTTGTGATTCTATAATGAATAATGGCTAGATTGTTGTTTTTCCCCGTAGTAGTATAATAACCGATTCTTGCCCGGCTATTAATTGAAGGTACATCATTGTATTCATTTTATAATTATTATATTTCTCACTGTTCATCCTATAATATTTTTATTTTTAAGATAAAAGCTGGCTACTAAGTGAAATAGAAGAAAGCTGATGCATGTATATTTCTTTATCTTTTCCATGAATAAAAGATTTGGTTGGTGTGTATGCCGTGTGCAAGTGCATATCTATTGATTTTATATACTATGATTTTTTGGTGGTGTTGCAATTGTGACATGTCCACATTTTTATGGTTTACCGATTAAAGTTCTTATAAGCTCTTAACGTTAAATATGATGTTAGTTTGTCAATTAAATTTTTTTGCATGATCATACATGAAGACATTATTGATGTATTAAATTGTATTGGCAGCTGTCACGCTTGAAAATCCGAACCCGAAAACCACGTGCACTGCTGAATCTGGTCTCATGTGGGAAGTGTCTCTCTACAAAATCTCCAAGGTAGTGTTGGGAATGTTGGTGGGTTCATTCAATAGCCATTTGTATTGCCTCTATTTTGGCTTTTTCCTGATGTGTTATAGGGTCCAATTTTACAGGGTCAAGCCTTTTTTTTCATTTAATTAAATAAAAGCATGTAGTTATATATCAGATGAAGAAAGTGTAGGAAAGTAGTTAGACTAGTACATTCCATTTCACTGATAAGATATTGTATATTTTTTCCTTTCTAGCATAAATTTGATGGAAATTTCAAACTAAGATTCAGTTGAAAATTTTATTAGTCACTATTGGCACTCTACTGCTAAACCCCGTCTCGATAGTCATGCGATAAATACGGATTAAGCTTTTGTAAACCACATCTCAGGTTGCTTATATGATATAAAATCAATTAATTAAATGTTTATTCAATAAATTCTTATCATAATAATTTGTTATATAAGTTTGATCTCGATATTCATTGGTATAAACATTAAGTGGGTAAGCCTATTTAAATGCATATCAGGAGAAAGATATATATAAGATTTAAATATATAACTAACAAAAATTACGTAACATTTCATTGGAAATATTTTTTAAAGAATAATATGTTATTTTTAATTTTATATTAAATACCAATTTTTTAATAATTTTAACACGTTTTTTTTTATATTTTTATTTTTATTTATTAAATTTAAAAATATTCATACGAGAATGGGCCTGTCTTATTGAAAACAAATCATAATTTTCTGAAGTCTTAATTTAAAAATAATCACACGAGGATGGGCCAGATCTTACTTTTATTATGAGTGCATGAGGTGGCCCAAATGAGGCGCATGCCAAATTTATTCAACTTTCTGAGGCTCTAGTAACTATCTCACTTTCAGATTTGTTGAGACTGAACCCATAAGGAAAATAGTTTGAAACTCAATGGTTTATGCACCTTCGCCCACTCTCCACCATAGTTATTTTTGAGAGAGGATTTTAAGAAGAAAAGGAAGGAAAGATTATATTTTTTAATTTTAAATTAAAAAATTATACATTATTTATGATAATAAATATATTATTAGTAAATTAAATTTACGTTATATATTTTATGTTAAAAATATTAATTTTAAATATATTTATTTAAAATAACAAATTTTCCCTCTCTTTTTTTTTTTCTCTCTGAAACTCCTTGCAAACAAACCTTAAGCCTTAGATAATATACTTCTCCAAATGTAGGGATGGTATTTTTTTGTCGATTAGAGGATTCTTGTGTAGAGTATTCCTTTTAGGTTTCCAAGTTAGGAAAAATTTTATTTTTCTCAAAAATAAGGCTAAAAACCCTCCAAAGCACAACATGTGGGGACAAAAACGAGGATCATACTTCCCGTCTTGTCATGAGAATTATACAGGGGTGCATTTAGTAATTTTTTAAAATAATAATATCTTTGAAATTAAATTAATAATTATGCGATTGTTCATTTTCTCGCCAACTTTTTCCTTTCACTTTTGAATTAAACTAAAGAAATGTTTAAGAAATACTGACACCATTTACATTTTCACATTTATATATTTCCTCAATTGAATTGCTTCTACATGCAGTACGAAAGGAAAATATATCTTGATATAATATATGACTCCTGAAATGGTGAATAGGGAACATTATCTTTCAAGCACTTGATCTACCCCGTATATGAATCAATCACGGTTAGTATTAATGAATTTACGTGATGAAAGAAAGTTGATAATCCATATTTAAAATGATAAAAAGTACTTGGCCTCGAACTAATTCGTATATTTTCCAATAAAAATAGCCACATCTGCAACAAAATAAATTTCCCTTCATTGAGGAAAAATGTTGAAGACATTTCAAAGGCAACCAAATACACAAGGTTTTCATCCTAAATTTTTCTCCATTAGAACATTATCAATCATAAACACTTACAACATGCTTACTTCTTTTTGTCACTGAACTGATTTGACATGCATCTTTTACAGCTCACAGCCGAGATCTCATTCACAAATCCCTGCATTTCCAAGCAAAAGTTAGTGCCTACATTACAGCAGCCAAATCCCCTTCTCAGCCACCTTTATCTGTCTTGATGTACTACCTCAATCCCCACGACAAAAGAGATATGCCCCCCCCCCCCCCAAATCATTTTCATATATTAGACCTTTTACCTATCTATTATCATTCATTTAACATCTATAAAAGCACTTTTCTCCACAACGTCATCCATAGATTGCCAAATTAATCTATCATCAAAGCAATCTATTAACTTTCCACTACCAATAAGACGATGAAGCAAACTATCTTCTTTTCTCTCCTCCTAGTACTATTTACTACCATATTTTCTACCATCACTTTAGCCCAGTCACCTGCTGCAGCCCCTAAAGCCCCAGCAAAACCGGCTCCTGCCACACCAGCTTCAGCACCGGCAAAACCATTAGTCCCTTCACTACCCCAATCACCCACGTCTGATTCTTCTTCTGGTCAAGACATCATCAAAATTCTAAGGAAGGCTAAATCATTCAACACACTTATCCGTTTGCTCAAAACTACCCAGATCATCAACCAAATCAATGCACAGTTGGTAACTTCAAAATCTGGTGGTTTAACCATATTTGCTCCTGATGATGGTGCTTTCTCACAACTCAAAGCTGGTTACTTCAACTCTCTGGCTGAGCGCCAACAGAAAGAACTCATACAGTTCCATGTTCTTCCAGTTTATGTCTCAAGCTCTAACTTTGATTCTCTTAGCAACCCTGTGCTGACACTGGCCAGTGATAGCCCAACCGGGTATCAAATAAACGTAACTGCTTATGGGAACAGTGTGAATATTTCAACTGGGGTGGTCAATGCCACCCTCACAGGCATTGTTTACTCTGATAAGACACTTGCCATATACCATGTGGACAAGGTGCTTATTCCTTTGGACTTCTCTAAGCCTAAGGCGGCAGCTCCAGCACCCAGTTTGGCAAAGGCACCTAAAGCTGATAAGGAGAACTCATCTGCAGAAGATGATGATCAGGGAGACACAAAAAAGGCCACTTCTGGTGCGAATGCCATCAATTTAACTCAAGGAACAATGTTGGTATCCCTCGGCGCTGCTTTAGTTGCTGCAGTAACGATCTTCAGTTGACGAAAATCCATTTGCAGGCTCAGACAAAGCACTGTTATTGTTTCTTTTTTACCGGAATTTTGCTTATGCCCTTTTCTTGGTTTCGTTTGTTTTGTCCTTGGAAAAGTGTTGTTTGAGAGATATGTGAACCTTGCCTCATTTTCATCATAGTTTTATAGTAAGAATATGATTATTTTATAGTAACACTGAATGGAATATATGAATTTTTTTTTTCTTATAATGTTTTTAAATTTTAAACATCTCAGTTATGAGAAGGAAGTGGCGCTCCGGAAATAAGGTAAGTAAAAAGGGAATAGTTCCCATTTGACTCCCTTTCACCTAAATCACCAAAGTTTGAAGTACTTCATCTCTTTTTGTTTTTTTGTTTTATTTTTATTTTATTTTTTTCATTTTACCAGGGTAGCTAAGTCTCTTTCTGTTAGGATAGTCGTAGATTTTACTACTTAATGGTTATTTTTAAAGTTTACCACTGTCTTCTTTAATTGAGTAATTATTTATATTTGATTTTTATACTTTTCTTGAAGTGGCCTCTCGTAAAATGATTTGATGACTATGTTTTCTGTTCAAAAAATTGATGTATGGTGTTCTTGATCCAATCACCTTGACCATGGATTTTGGAATAAGTTACACTCTTCAACTGATTTTCTACGAATTTCATTACATTTTGCAATCTTGGGTCGCTTATGAATAACTAAAAGATTAATTATTTGTGGTTGACTTTCAAGAAGAATTAATATACCATATAATTTGGTGTTAAGAAAATGAGGGTCTGAGGGAACTCTTCCGTTAGTTTACTTTTATCGCATGTTGGATGGATGAAGAGAGAGAGAGATAGAGTGAAAGATAAAACAATTCTCTTATTTGTATCATCTACGGAAAGGGGAGGAGAGATTTCTTTAGTGAGTCCTATCAGAAAAAAATAATCCCTGTAAGGAGAATGAATAGTGATAAGGGGAGGGAAGGGGGAATGGGGTAGGTTTTTTTTTTTTTTTTTTCTTTCTAAATTAACAATTATAAAAAAATTAAGAAAAATAAAAATAAAAAATTTAAAATTTTTAAATAAATTTTTTATATGAATATTTTTAATGAAATTCAATTATTTCTTTTTACACCTTTGTTACTCATTTAAACGAGTGGAATTTTTTTTTATCATTTGCTTCTCTCTTATTTCAACTCATTCAAACATCAAATATTTTTCACTCTATTTTTCATCTTCTTATTTCTTTCTTCTCTATTTCTTTCCTCCCTATTTTATAAAATTAATTGTAAAACTAGATAATGAATATAAGTGATCTAAAGGAATATGTTGATATAATTTTTTTAAAAAATTATAGTTTTAGTTGTTTAAGTTAATTTTAAGCTCTAACTATTATTTTTTGTTTCATGATCAAAATTATAAATAAATAGTGTAATAATTGAAATAAGAAAAAACATTAACTAGTTTAAACAGTTAAAATTTAAAAATAAAATCTTAATTCCTTAACTGATACCTTAGTATACTAAGTAGAGATATCCTTAAAAATATATATTTAAAAAATATGAGGACTTTTATTACAATGTTCAGAGTTTTTTTGAAAAAAATATAATAAACTAAAGCTATAATTTTAAATGTAATATCTAAAAATGTTATAAATTAATGTTACGAGCTTATGCACTATATACTTCTATTTTAATGAAATAAATTTATAAATTACTCTGATAAATTATAAATTAGTTAAAAATACCAAATATAATACAAACTAATTTATTACTTCAAGAGAGAGAGAGGAAGTGAAAGGTAAAACCTCACATAGTTTTCATTTTGAGTAAATCTTCTATTCTTATTTTGTTGAATTCCTTTTTTATTCAAGTTATCTAATTCCTTTATTTCCACAACACCAACAACATAAACATTAACACAACTTTCTTCTTTTTAATTCATTAGAATCAATGTAAACCTTTCTTCAAGTCACAATTGTTGCAACCGGGCAGTCGCAACGGTACGGCGAAAAAACTTTTTCAAAAATATCAGAGGAGTCGCCACCAAAGTTTATTTTAAGAAAAAAAACCTTGGAAAAACTTAAATATAATACGATCTTTGAAACCAAAAATGAGTTCGGAAGTCATTTACGTGTAGGGAAGGTATTAACATCCTACAACGTCCGTTTAAAAAACGGTTACCTAAAATTAATTGTGCAAATTCATTCTAATTTTGAAAAATATTTATTTATCCCGTAAACATTAATTATTTTTATTTTAGAAGAAGAAATATTATTTATTGAGATATTATTTGGATTATTTTAAAAATTATTTTGACTTGACGGGTATGGAGAACTCAAAGCCACGTAGTTCTATCTAAAAAATTATAAAATTAGTTGATTATAATTAAGTTTAGTAAGATAAAATTTATTTTAAAGTTAAAATTATTTTGTAAAATTATAATATTTAGAATACAAGATAACGCGGTTATACATGTACCCTGCGAAAAACAATACAGAAAGTGAAGGAAGATCACACAACTATATTGCAAATGGTTAAAATATTTCATTCATAAATCAAGTATTTGAATTTTAGTTTTGATTATGATTAATGTTGAAAGAGAATTTAAGATAGCGTAAGCTATACATTAATCTTTTATAATTTTTAGACAATCGAAAGTAATGTAAATCACACAATGGTATTGCAAAAATTTGTATAATAAAATAACAAATGGAGAAATAATTGATTATTTATCAAAATTAGAAATACAATTCAAGAAATTTTAAAATATGAAATTAATTTCATTTTAACAAATAATTTTATTTGAATTGATTAAAGAAGATACTCATTTAATAAAAACATTAAAAATTTCATTTGATAGATTTATATTATATAAAACCTAAGGTAACGTTAGTACACATAGATTTTGACAATTTATAATGCATAAAGGTAGAGTCGCTACACATTAGCATTATAAATTGTTTCTTAATAAAATAATTTAGATTTAAATTAGTTAATTGATTCGTAAGTTAGTATTTAGAAGAGAAATATATCTTGTATTATTATTAGAGTGGTTAAATAATTAATTAATGACAATATATGATAAATTAATATTGCATAAAGTCTTGGTAACGTAGGTACACATAGACTTTATCAATTTATAATACATGACGATAGAGAAACTATACGTTAGTATTATAAATTGATACAATTATATCATTATTTATTAATTATTATACCAAAAAAAAATAAGTAATTTAGTATTCACAATATAAGATAAAGTAATCATAAATATAAAAATTAAATCGCATTAATATTCTACAAATATACAATAAATAAAATAAAAGATAACAATCCCAAAAAGTAAAAAAAAAAATGATAATTAAGATATGAACAATAAAACATCATAAAAATAGGAAGGATTTATTATTAATGTTGAATGTGATAAAAGGAAACTCAATAATATAATAAAATAACAAATATTGCATTTGATCAATTTTAATAAAATTATAATTATTTTAATTATTATTATTATTTTAAAAAAAGAGAATACAATAAAATAAAGTAAAATAGATTAAAGGACATTACAGCAATAAAATACAGCAAAAACACTAAACATGGATAAATCAGAATAAAATTTTAGATAAAAAAAAAAAAGACATGGTTACGTGAATGATTTGATAGAAATCAACTAGTATGTGGCATTTGTTAGAAATCAACTAGTATATGACATTTGTTTTGCTTCAAGCCTTGCACCCGCTATGTCAAATCAAATACTTTATATAAATAATATAATATTAAATCTCAATCATGAAAAGAAGATAGGAAGAGGATATTCAGTTGTTCAGCATTTTTATTCTTTCAAATATATTTCAATAGCAAGTTTTTGGTTCGTTTATATGCATTTTAAGAGTAAGCTTTTTCGGTTCGTTCATATTCGTTCTGGGAGTAAGTTTCAAAATGTAAAATAAGAACGAAAGGTGACTAACCTTACAAATACAACAACATACGAAGAATAGTTCAAGCTTTGGGTCGAAGGGATGGTATGGTATTCTCTTCTTTTCTCTATCCCTCTTCTCCTCTGTTCAGATTTTTTGTAGAGAAACCCGTTGCCTTTCTAATTTTTGAAAACTTCTTCTCCTCTCAAAATTTTTTTTGCTTTCTTTCTCCAGCCTCCCCCTCCAAAAGACCCCCCGGGTGGATCCCTTACTTGCGTCTTTATACTGGTTCGTTTAGGGTTTTTTTACAAAATGCCAAAAGTTCTGATTTTGTCTTTCTCGTGCTTAAGAACGATTTTTGATATGGAGGTATAAGCTTGTATACTGCAGATTTCTGTTTCCGTGAGCCAAACTTGTTTTTTCCAAAAATTTTCATTTTTCTGTAAAACAATTTTATTTTATTTTTAAAAATTTTTTTAATTTTTTTGAGGTAATCCTAGGAGATAAAAAAAAATGGTATTCACAGTTGTCCCTCTTTACTCAGTTCATATCAATTAGAGATATTTTGAAGTTAGAGTTGATGAGAACTGAGTAAAGAAGTGAATCAAATTTTTTGTCTAAAGTGAACAAAGGGTTACAAAGACAAATATAATGAACACTCAGCTGTTAGGGAAAGTCATAATTTATGACAATTTGTATTAAACAAATTGTGAAATGACATTGACTTTTAACTAAAAACAAAGGTTGCCAGGTAGATACTGGGCTTAAACAACAGGATAAAAGGTGAAAAATGTCAGTCAGGTTCTGGACTATGGAAGAGAAGTAAAAAGTGCTAGTCAGGTTCTAGGCTTTGACAGAGAAGAGAAAGGTGTCAGTCAGGTTCTGGACTTTGGCAGAGAAATGAAATGTGTCAGTCAGGTTCTGGACTTTGGCAGAGAAATGAAATATGTCAGGCAAGTACTAGGCTTTGATAGAAAAGTAAAATGTGTCAGTTCGATTCTGAACTTTGACAGAGAAGAGAAAGGTGCCAGTTTGATGCTGGGAGTTGACTAAAAAAATAAAATGTGCCAATCAGGTTCTGGATTTTGCCATAATAGTAAAAAGGTACCAGTCAGGTTCCGAGCTTTGACAGAGAAGGGAAAAGTGCCAGTCAGATTTTGGGCTTTGACAGAAAATAAAATGTGCCAGTTAGGTGTTGGACTTTGAGAAATACGAAAGATGTTGTCAAGTTTTAGGCTTCGACAAAAACATAAAGGGACTTGGACAAGAAAGGTAAAAAGAAAGACAGAAAAATAAA